TAATACTTCGTACATTCCATGGTCGGATGATTAATGGATGTCTGCGGCTGTTTCTCTTCAATTTGAGTGGTGCCACATCAGCAAATGGAGGTCTCAAAAGCTTTACCTTATCCATAGGACTAAGGCTGGGTTTACTCAGATGATGCAGCTCTTTACCAGTCCTGTTTTGAGAGCCTTCTAACCTAACCGGACTATTCATAAAGTTGTGCGGTAATGTATCAAACAGTGTTTCTTTGCTATTCATAAGGTTCTCCCTGGCCAATTCTTTGAGAAGTGGATGGCCTCCTCCTTCTTCCTAGTCTGTCTCAGTCTGTAAGCCAGGCTGATACTTGTGCACTATGTGTATCCGCTGGGTTTGAAACACCAGTGGCTCAGCCTCAAAACTCACATCAACACGTCACCACGGTAGGACAAACCGACAGCTAAGTTTGTCTCCCTGTTGGAAACCTCTCTTGCCACCCTTACTTGGGTCCCTGTGTCTGACTCCTCCTCTGTCCAGATTCCTAGGCCTTTTAATCCCCTCTTTTCTGTTCTCCTGCCCTGCTGCTTTGGGCATGCCTGATTTCCCTCTCCTCAACTGGATCCCTGTAGCTGACTGCTCCTCTGTCTGGGTTCCTGGCTTTTAATCCCCTTTTCCCTGCTCTCCCACACTGCTGCTTTGGGTGTGCCTGAGTTCCTCTCCTCACCTGGATCTCTGTGGCTGACTGCTCCTCTGTCTGAGTTCCTGGCTTTTAATCCCCTTTCTCCTGCTCTCCCGCACTGCTGCTTTGGGCGTGCCTGAGTTCCCTCTCCTTAGCTTGGGGATATACAAAGGTACACTTTAGGCCAATGTAGCCTGTAGTTACCAACCCATGGAACACACTATTCATAATATAAGCATAAAGCAACTCATAAGAAGGACAGGTGTTTTTCAACTCAGAGAGGGGCATTCAGGAACAAGACCACAGAGCGCAGAGACACTTCTCCCGTGGCCCCTAAGCTGCTGTAGTAGGAGATGGTGCACTGGCTGGTGGACAGCAGCCCAACAGGGTCTTCAACTCCCATAACACTTAATTTGTAACTCACCAAACTGACTGACTTCTGAATACACATTTTAGGAAATGCTTCACAGAAAATCATACCATATTTCATAAAATCTAAAATATCAGTGAATCTAAGGCATGTATTTTGTTATATGCATGGTGGACCACTGTGTTAACTGAACTATGGCATGTGACTGACTCCCAATTTCAGGGACAGTCATACAGAAAAAAGTGTATTCACACAGAAGCATTGTGAAGACACTGTGTGCCAAAATGGATAAGAAAGTACAACTTTCGATTGCTAAATTTTCCAGGTGTTGAAATGCAGTACTTTCTGCCACCAGTTTGGTAAATTGTAGCCACTTCTGGTGTGTCTTTCTAAAATGCACCATGTGCTCATGGTGGGTCTTTACACACAGCATGTTGTGTGCACAGACCAGCTACACTTCCTGGCAGGAGGTGTGTGACAAGCTGTTGGCTAGGCTCACTTGTGCCTGGCTGCACAGTCTGCTTAGTATGAACGGTTGCTCCGAAGAGGTGGCCTGGTGTGCTCTCTTGCCAGCAAACCAGCCAGGCCCTTTCCTGTTTCCTCAGGAATCACTGGTGAGCCCAGTGACCATGGGAACATTTGCCTGTTTTTCCTACTTTCTTTTTCTGTCTGTTTCCCTTTCTTCCCTTGAGTTTGTTCACAGTACTTTTCTTTGACAGAAGTTGTTAGCTAATGAAAGTGTGTTACATCCGAAGACAGTGATCTTTCTCTGGCCCTTCTACAGGACTCTCAGGCCTGCTTGCCAATGGAGGTGGTTTGGCATCTTTTGGATTGATAGTGGTTCTAAATCATTCAGACAGAAAGTTAACCATATACACAGTGATTCATGCTAAGTGCTGCACACTCCTAGAGTTCACTGAGAACCTTACCTTTGCAGCTGTTCTATCTGCAGAATTGCCTTTCTCAGGGATTCTTCCAACCTAGAGATCTAAACACAGTCAAATAACATCTAGTTATCATGACAGATGATGCCAAGTGATAGTTTAAAGAAGACACATTGATCCTTTGAATGTTCTAAACTAGGAATCAGAATGCTGAAGTTGCCCTCATGCCCTCATGCTAGTTAAGCAGTAAATTCACATCAAGACCAGTATATCCAGTATTTATGACCATGGCCTTTGAAAGTCATCAATGCAAAGCTAACTCAACCCCAAACCCCAGGAGACACATTTTGACCTGCCACTGCCCCCACAGACTAGTGAGAGACTAATAGGTATAACCAGAAGCTCAAATGTACTTCAGCTCTGACCAGGTTTTTATCAGAGTAATTTTTCCTCAAAACATAAGAGATGAAAATGCTATAATGGACCTAGTCTTTTCAAGAGCACAATCTTTGCTATTCCATTTGGTATGGATCCTGGCCCTATCACTCTGTAGCTGCTGTGGAGCAGGGAGTAAGATGGAGCCTGTATCAGCCAAGGGATTGGAAGAAACAGGACTGGGAAGGGGGAGCTGGATTAGATTGGTTACTACTTGCAGGGGAAGGGCAGTGACTGCCTCTTCCTGGAAAATCTCTCTACGTTAGACTATTTCCTCTCTTTTCCTGCTCTCCTCAAACTGCCAGCCCAGGATTGGTTTCAGGACAAATAGGAGAAATATGGGAGAAGGCAAGAGGCAGGAGGCTCTTTCCCTGAGCATGTGTGGTCACAGGTCTAAGGGCAGCACCATTCATGGACACCTAGGTTCTATGCAAATCCAGAAAAGAGGCAGAATGAACATCAAGACAGAGCAGGTGAAGGGAGGTGTCCAGAGTCTAAAAACCGACCCCAGGCTTCTAAGGCTTCAAAGTCAATCTCCTTATATTTCTTATTCCATAATCTTCAAAATTTTATAACAGAAAAAAAGGTGGTAGAATAGAGAAGTTTATGTAAGCTGTTTTGTGTGAACCACGAGCCCAAATGAGGAGGGTGGACCTGGTGCCACATAGCCTGACAGGCACCCTGGAATCCATGTGCACCCTCCTGCTGCATGCCCACTCTTCAGCTTCTCCCACTCTGGCTCCTTCCTCTCCATGTCTGCACACCCTCCATGGAGAGCCTACTAAGTAATGCAGGCCTGACAATCCAGGCTATTTCTTGTGGCTTTCACTAAAACTTCATTTTCCTTCTGTTTACTTCAAAAATTAAGTAGAGAGAATATCCCATGGCACAAAAGAGCAGACATTTCTAATTTCCTTTTATAATGATCAGCAAAGCATATTTTACAAATACAGTTACACAGCTTAAGGAAAGGTATCCAATGAGTTTGAGGGATAATGATGGGTCAGTATTTAAGATATAATCCCACAATTCCTAAGAGTAAAACTTCCCCCAGGTACCAAATCATAAGGGGAAGAAAAACAACACCCCAACTAGATCACTCCTAGAAAGCTACTGGGCCAAGCCAGACACAAGTTGATGTTCAGGAGGGCAATGGGTGATAATGCTTACAGATCAGAAGCCTGTCATAATTGGAACAGCAATAAAGAGCAGACCTTGTATCAAGCAGCCCCTCACCTTTATGAGTATATCATTAGACAACAAGTCTGACATTTAAATCCAAAAGTTAAAGAGGTTTTACCTTTTCTCTGTAGAAGGCTAACAATCGCCTCTTGTGTTTTTCTTGAAATTCTGAAATCTGAGAATTGAACCCATTTCAGCTGCTGACACTGGCACATGATCTCTATCATAGAACATTTTGTCAGGGGAACCAAAAAGTTGGAAGGAACCTTAACCACAGGCTACAATGTGCTCCTTTGCACAAGCATTTCCCCAACACACACTTGCTCCCTCCCTCCAGGTACAGGATCCACTGCGGCCAGGGCCACTGGTTCTGCCATATTCCCAGCACCTGGCCCAGAGCTGAGGCTGGGTCCTCCTTTGTTCAGTGAGTTAGTCATATTTCAGCAAAGCATAGTCAAATGGAAACACAAGTTAGTTTTAGTCTATTCAACAGGAAGAGCTCAGAAAGCACTGAGTCCTATCTCCCAGCAGCGTTTCCCCTCCCTGCTGGTTTACTGGCACTCTGCAACCCTCATGATGGGCATGGAATGCCCGGCCACAGTGGGTCAATCCCAGTGTGTTGCCTATGGAATGGACTCCTAACCAAACAGTGCCAATCAGAGAATATTCCTGAAACATAATATGGACCAGGGCATGTGGTGGTAGAAGAGACATACAGAACAAAGTGAAGTCTGGAAGTGCCTGGGAGACCTAGTCTGAATTTGCAGAGTCAGCTACACCTGAAACAGACACTCTCCCTGGGCTCCCCATTTGTATGTGCCCAGCATTTTACTGCTGCTGCATGTTCTAATCTGAACTGGATTTCTAGGGACCCCGTATAAATAAGGCAACAGTGATGTAGTATTTACTCAGAAGAGGAAAGAGCTATTCATCTAAGTCAAGTTTTCAGATAATGACTTAACCTCCTAAAATACTACACTGTAATTGTTTAAGCTTCACTCTTACCATCCTCTGTCCAGACCACTGGACAGCAGAGCTAATAGACAACAGAGTGATCAGGTTGAACTAAGAGTCAACATGCTATAAATCTATGCCACCTCAGGAATCTGCTAACTAAATACAAACACCAAGGGACTGTATGTATGTTCCCCCTATGACTCACTGGTCCAGTACAAAAAGAGAGAGAAAACTCTCCTAGGGAGAGTTCTCAACTGTTCCCAATACCACAGGGCTCCCACTTCCAACACCTCCACTCCTTTGTTAAACAGGGCCATTCCAGGAGAAGAATAACAAATATCACTTTTGCATTTCCCCACTCTTCTTGGCTCCTGCATTTCCATAGTTTTCTCAACTGGTATTGCAAATGTTTTACCAATAAGAAAATGAAAAGGCAACCTACAGAATGAGGGAACATATTTGCCAATAGCAAGTCAGAGAAGGGACTTGCACCTAGGATATATAAAATATACAATCCTTTTGGAGATAATTTACCCTGGGCTATCCCCAAACTGAGCTCTGCTGGTGCAATGGTTAAGCACTTGACTGCTAACTGAAAAGTCAACAGTTGGAACCCACCAGCTGCTCTGTGGGAGAAAGATGTGAAGCCTGCTTCTATAAAGATTAAAGCCTTAGGGACCCTAGGGTGATTCTATTCTATCCTATAGGATGATTATGACAGTAATGGGTTTTGTTTTCTGATAACCGCAAACCAGGTCCTCAGCTGACCCGATTGGCATGCTGAGGAAGCGCATCCTGTGCCCACCACTCATCTACCTGGGAAGTTTCTTTTGAGTACTTGGTGCACAGGCCATCGATGCCCATAAAGAATGCCTGGATACTCAAGTCAGTCTGGAAGAGAAAAATAAAATAGATTACACTGTTGCATCTAATAAATGCTACCAGTTACTTATTAAAAGACTGCAGTTGGATTTGTCAGACAAGAGAGTGTCCTGCTAACATACTCCTTCCAGTCCTTTTACAACAGAGACCCAGAAAAACTGAGTGAAACAGATACAAATGATGATCCAGGTATCATCAAATAAGAGTTCTCGTAACTCTGGGCATCAAATAAGAGGATAAAGAATTAGCTTGATTGTTGACTAAAAAGGGAGACAGAGGGAGGTCAGTGACTTGGGAGAGAAAAGAAGCCTGGGCAGACCAAAGGGTCACCATTTTAAGCATAGAGGCATCAGACACGATGAGGAGAAACAACTTCACGAAATCCACAAAGCAATAAAGAAACATTGTAGACAGATTAGGAGGAATTCAAGGTGAGCAGAAGATGTGCAGGAACTGGGAGAGGAATGTGTAGGTTAACTGGTCAGACTTATAGTGACACAGGTGGCTGCAGAGTGAGGAGAGCACAAGAGAAAAGGAATGAAGTAACTCACCACTAGAAGACACTAGTCATTTGGGCTTAGGACCCACATGCGGGGTAAAGCCTGTGTTGAGGTGGTTGTAGAAGCTCAACTCAGGGCAGTCTCTCACTTGACTGAATATTGATAAGAGCTGGAAAAACAGCTGCATGAGCCTGGAAGGGCACTGGACCCATGCCAGTGAATTGTGTCTGGAGAACTACATTCTCCACTCTAACAAACATACACCTTCTGGGTACCTAGTGGTAAAGTTGTTTTCAACCCCCATCCACCTTACTGGCATGGATCTTTGGCAACCTCCATAGCAGCCCAACAACTGCCTTATTGCAGACAGAGGCAGAAGCTGAAGTTCACCCACCCAGGGTCTGAGTCACCGACAGATCTTTTTCACATTAAATGCAAGAGGCACACCTCTGCAGCCTCTTCTCTCAGAGGCGCCCTTTAGCGCCAGGCACCTCCGACTTTTTCGAGGGGAAAGATCTATGTTAGGCCAGTTGGAGAAGCTTGTTTCAGGGCACCCTTTAACTTGAGTCTGGGAAGGAGGAAGATAAACAGATGTGTGTACCCAGAATGGTACCAGGCCCATGCCAGTCAATCAGGAAGTCCTGCCCAGATCTCCTGGCCACAACCTCTACAGCCTACCCACCCTCAGCAACCTACTCCACACAGACCCAGGAGCTGCAGCTCTCTTACAGCACTTGCACACTAGCTGATCTCTCTCACACTAAGCATAAGAGGCACACATCTGTAGCCTCCTCTTTTGGAGGTGTCCACTCGTGCCAGGCTCTTTGCACTTCCATGGGCACATGCACTGGTGGATCAATGGTTTGTAAAACAACCTCCTGCTTCTGAGGCTGATGGCAGACCATAACTATAAAAGTCCCTCCTCTTCAGCCTCCTTGTTTTCCCCTTTTCTTTTTCCCAATTTATCTTCCTTTTCATTTGTTCCTTTCTTCCTCTTCTTCTTATTTCATTTCTACCAATCATTCTTCTCGTCCACAACACCCTTTCCTTTTTCATACTTTTTGTCTTTTATTTTTATTCTGACTTCTTTTATTATTCTTATCTTGGGGTGTTCCCCCCACTTCTTTCCTGTCCCATCCAACAGGAGGAGGACGTTAACTCTCCAGTAGGCAGCCATATCCACTCCAACAACCATTTCACTCAATGGATGAGCACCACCATCATTAGCTCCTGTACCACTGGATCAATGGAAGACAATGGACAACACCTGCTTATCCCACCTGTTGTTCCTCTTCATGACATACAGAGACTTGTACCTACATTCTCACAAGCCATTCCACCAACCTGGAGATAGCTGGGGAGTGCCTCAGTGCTGCCAAGGTAACAACCAAAGAAGCATGCCTGCCCACCCATCTGGACATACTGAAACAAAGCAAAACCAAAAGACAGAGAAAAGCAAGCCAACACATAAACAACAAATAAAAACAACTTCAAAATGTCTCAGAGATAATGGACAACTTCAATTCAAACAGAGGTAAAATAAGTGGAAGCAAGTGACTAAAGTAAAGAAACATGCAACATTTTTGAGGAAGAATACGTAATAGAACTATCTGATAAGGAGTTTAAAAGACACATACACACACACACACACACACACACAGGACCTTCCAATAGCTCAAGGAAACCATAAACAGAAGCCAGGAAAAGATAGACAATACCCTAAAGAAATCAGGAAAACAATACAAAATCAAAATGACAAAATGAATAGACAATCAGAAATTATCCAAAAACAGCAATTAGAAAGAAATCCAAAAGATGAACACTAAAACTACAGAGATATATAACACATTGGAAGGAAAAACAGTAGAATCAGATTGGCTAAAGAACACATCAACCAGCTTGAAGACAAATCCCTTGACAGCAGCTTGTAAGAGGAAAAATCAGAAAAAGGCTGAAGTAAGTATAGGAGTTATATGGGACGATATCAAGAGGAATAGCCTATATGTGATTGGAATTCCAGAACAAGTTAAAAAAAAAAAAAAAAAGCTCACTGCTATTGAGTTGAATCTGATTCATAGCAACTCCCACTGGGTTTCCAAGGCTGTAAATCTTTATGGAAGTGGATCACCCCATCTTCCTTCTGCAGAGCAGTTGGTGGGTTTGAACTGCTGGCCTCTGGTTATCAGTCAAATGCCTTATCCACTATACCACCAGAGCACCTTACAAGAAGAGGCAAAAATAAATCACAGAGAAAACTTTCAAAGACCTGCTAACAGAAAACTTCCCCAACATTGTGAAATGAAAGCTCAACAAACCCTATACAAGATAGCCCCCAAGAGAAAGTCACCAAGACATATCAGAATCAAACTTTCAAAATCAAAGACAAAGAAAAAAATCTTGAAAGCAGCTCAGGAAAAAAGAAATGTTACCTACAAAGAACCACCATGTAAGCAAGAAGGCAAAAGGGTGACATATATAAAATATTGAAAGAAAAAAAAAACTGCCAACCAAGAATTATGGATCCAGAAAAACTGTCCCTTAAATACAGTGGTGAAATTAGGAAATTCTCAGACAAACAGAAGTTAATGGCATTTGTACAAACCAAACCAATCCTACAAGAAATGCTAAAGAGAGTACTTCAGACAGAAAATCAACAACAGAAGACAACTATTTAGGATTAAGACACAAGACAACAATACCTACAAACCAATCCTGAAAAAGAATTCTCAAAACTAAAATAAGGCCCCAGGTTACCCTTTGAGCCTAGAAATGGACTCATTACATGGATTGGCTCTCAGCCCAACAGTAGAAAGACATACATGCAGAAAACCTACCCCAGATCGATGCACCTACCCACTGTAGGGAGATGCACCCCTTGGATCAAGTAGCCATGAGACACCAGAGGGGTAGCACTCACATAGAGGGAAGCCTGGACAGACAGGAATGCATGGATAAGAGGGGCACAGGAAGAGGTGGTCACGAGGAGGAGAGGGAAAGAGTTTTTCAGGGTTGGGGATGGTAATTGGGACCATGAAACCAGATGTGCATGAACTGTTGAATCTAAAACAAGTTTGCCATGTAAATTTACAGCCAAACCACACACACACACACACACACACACACACACACACACTACTAAAATAAGCCTTCAAAATGGAAAATAGAGAACCAGAGGTGTCAATCTGTAAATGACAAGAATTATACAGCAAAAAGAGGGAATAAATGGTCTAATTACAGAACTTCCCATTGGAAAGGAAGTCAAGAAGATGTCAATATACAATAGATTGTTTCAAACTAAGGAAGATAAAAATTTACTACAGGGTGAAGAAAATTAATAAGCCTTTCAACCAAAATATGAAAAAGAAAATCACAAGGATTTAGCAAGCACAAAAACAATAACAATGAAAAAAAGGGAAAAAATGAACTCAGCACAGAAAAATATTCAGAACAAAGATATCGACACCACAACAAAAAACACAAAAGAATGACAGCAGTAAATTCATAACTATCATTGATTACACTGAATGTGAATGGATTAAATCCACCAGTCAAGATAGAGACTCGCAGAATGGATAAGTAACAATTTGCTGCCTACAAGACTTATTTTATACACCCAAAGATAAAAATAAATGAAAAATCAAGGGATAAAAAAAAATATATATATCAAGCTAATATCAACCAAAAAGAATAGGAGTGGCAATATTAATTCCTAATAAAATAGACTTTAAGGTGAAAACCAACATAAGGGGCAAGGTAGGACACTATATGATGATAAAAGGGTCAATTAACCAAGAACACATAGCCATAATAAATAACTACTCACCCAATGAAAGACTCCAAAATACATGAAGCAAACACCAACGGACTTGAAAGGAGAATTGAAAATTTTACTATAGTAATAAGAGACTTTACCATACCATGTTCAATGAAGGACAGAACAAAAAGAAAAGAAACAACAAAGACACAGAAGATCTCAACAATACAATATACAGAACAATCCACCCAACAAAAATATAATATACATTGTTTTCAAGTGCATATGGATCATTCTCCAGAATACACCATATCTTAGGCCACAAAACAAGCCTCAATAAATTTAAAACTATCAAAATACTACAAGGAATCTTCTCAGATCACAATGCTATAAAATTAGAAATCACTGAAGGGAAGACCAGGAAAATAAATCAAATATATAGGAACTGAATAATACACTACTCAAACCCACCAGCCACTCCTCAGAAGGAAGCCTGGGCAATCCTACTTCCGTAGTGATACTGCCTTGGAAACCCAAGGAGGGGTCGCTATGAGTCAGGGCTGACTCGACGGCACATACCAACAAGAACAACAACAACAAGAACTACTGGGCAACAGAAGAAATAAAATGTGAATTGAAAAAAAAAAAAAATTCCTAGAAACAAATGAGAATGAATACACAAGATAACAAAACCTTTGGGTCACAGCAGAAGCAGAACTCAGAGGTTAAAAAAAGAAAAGAAAAGAAAAGAAAAC